CGGCGCAGCACACAGGATGGAGCCACGAGCAGCTCATCTGGGAGATGCATGCACCCCAGAAGGGCGTGGGGGCATATACCTCCAGATCTGTGCAGGACAGGGCAGGCTGCCACTGTGGGGTGGGGTCAGGGCTGTGCCAGGCTCTTCCCAGCGAGGGGGGGGCAGGCCACCTGCAGCCACCTGAAAATTTGCCATAGGCCCCCAGCCCTGCCACCACCTGCCCCAAGAACAGCAGGGCCCAGGCTCCCACCTGCCACACACCATGCAGATCCTAGGCAGCAGCTCCCATGCCTTCCCAGCATGCATGCAGCAGTGATAGCTGCCACCTCCCCAAGACAAGCTACCCACAGCTCCGTCCTGCACCCTGCCCCACTCCGAGGTGGGGGAGAGAAGGACAGACTGAGGCCTCAGTGGTAAGAGGGAAGCAGGGACTGGGGTAAGTAGGCCCCAGCCCAGCCAGGTGGTGGGGCAAGCAGAGGCCTGAGGGCATATGTTCCCCCCCCCCAAATCTGTGTGGGGCAGAGGTGGCTGCCGCTGAGCACTGTGCTTTTGCTCCCTGCTGCAGCTACACATGGCGTCGCACGGCTCTTGGGGCAGCAGGGCTCAAAGCGCAGCGTGTAGCAGCAGCCACCTCCGCCGTACAGATTGGGGGGACACATACCCCTCGGGCCTCCACTTATCCCAACCAGCCCAGCCATGGCCCCACTCACCCAAGCCCCTGCTCCTGCCTATGCCCTGCTCCTTCCCTCAATGCTGGGGCTTCAATCTGCCCCTCCCACATTTTTTCTTCCCCTTCCCCCACAGACCTACCTCCTGAGCTAGGGCAAGGGGGTGGCACCCAGTAGATCCTGCATTGCTTTTTAATTAAAAAATAACCTCCTACTTTAAAAGGTTGGAGACCACTGTCAGCTAGTAGAAAAAGAGCCAAAAAGCCCCACTGAAGGATGTGATCTATATGAACATTGGACAAGCCAGGCCAAACTGATGCGATGCCTTGTAGGTATGCGCCGAGATGAAAGTAAAGCGCTGCTTTGTTTTCTTTTCACATCTGTAAGCAACCATAGATACTTTTAACTGCCTTGCGTCCCTCATTTAGCTCAGTAGCAGTGAATAGCCAGCTATACACTGAGTGAAGATACTTGGAGAGCATTCAGTTGTCCCAGAAGCTGTTTTAGAAACTTACAAACTTTGCGTCATTTGTCCAAAGGAGGATTATTACCCGAGCTGCTGAAGGACTTGGACATCTAATGTTTGGAATAAAAGCTGCGATTTGATAGAGATGAATGAAGAACCTGTGCTAGGATTAGCACCTTTCTTTACGAATAGCATGATTGTAAAAACCTTTTGAAAATTTTTAGCTCCAAAATTCTAGACAGACTCTCCCTTGAAGAGAACTGGCACTTTTTTACTGCAGACCACAAAATATGGAGAAATCAAAATCCTCGCTGGAGTTAACAAGTCTGGGACAGCCTCCAAAGAAAGAATAGTTATTTAGGGGATCAATAGAAATGACCACTACCCTAACTCCTTACAGTCTAATCCACAATTTCCTCAGGAGCCACTTCTGTAGCTGCTTAAGAACGATCAGTACCTGTTTAAATGTTTAACAACAGTATATAATAATGCAAGAGAGAGAAAACTATCAGCTCCAAACACAAATTGCTCAATACATACAGACTGGCCCAATTTCAAAAAATATGATCAAAGATTGATGCCGATATGCGTGTTGAACAAATTTTGCAAACCCTGTGAGAACTTCAGCTCCTGCAATCTTCTAATTCAATATTCAGGCAACTCCTACTTTAAAAAACCCCCATCTCACACATGATACTACTTTATCAAAATACTAAATTTTATTTTCACATGTACATTTAGTCGCCCCACCATTTCCATTTGTCTGACCACCACCACACTACTATGCCTTATCAAAACATTCCGTACATATTTGACGTTAAGCAAAGGGTGGAGTTCCATCTCTGAAAACTAAACAGGCATTTTGGACAACACATTCTTGGCAAAGTATTCTGGACGACATTTATCAGACACCGTAGGGAAAGTTCTTTCAGCATTTGTTAAAAAGGACAGCCAAATAATGGTTACAGAAATAAGACTGCAGATTTTAATGAGCTGTTTAAACTGTTTTCTTTTCTTACAGAGTCTGCCTCCACTGCCAGAGAGCTTGAATGACCTGAAAATATATACAAAAAGAGATTAGAAATTGTAGTTAAGAACTGCAATTACCTGTTCACAGTTTGATACAATTTAAATGAGTAGCTAAAGATCAGTCTAGAACAGGGGTGGCCACAGTTACTCACCCCTGGGACCCACATCTGGTCCTCCACTGAAGGTCAAGCGCTGCAGAGCTCCGCCCACTTCTCCAGTTTAACATTCAGGAGCCAGGGACTGGCCACAGGATCAGGCCCCTGCTACTGCAGCGCTGAGTCGCTCCAGCTTTCCCTGTGGGGAGCGCATGCCCCGGGGTAAGCAGCACAGCTGCAGCCCCAGCTCCAACAGCCTCAGAGTGGAGAAGTGGGCGGGGCTTCGACTCCAGAAAGTTGCAAGTACAGTGCCAGCAGCATGCATGCAGCTCATGAGCCGCAGTTTGGCGACTGCTGGTTTAGAACTTAATTTTTTTAGTATTTTTTCTCTTTTAGAAAGGACAGAACTTCTCATTTAAATATCTTACAAAAAATCCTTTCCCATAGGATGCTGAGCCTAAAACATGCCTTTTGTTAAATCAGATACAACTTTCCCCCAAGGATTCAAAATACAAGTGACACTTAAACCATAAAAATGTAGTTCTTAAAACTTTATAGTGTACATTAAGAATTTAGTCAAGGTAAGCAAAAGGAAGGGTGTGGACCAGTCAGGAGAACACTGGCTGAACTCTGCCTGCCTGCCCTGACTTGTCAGATTAACTTCGGTAGCCGAGGCTAACTGCTTTTAAACATTTTCTTTCAAACATTTTGTCTGTATCAGGTTAGCTCTGAACCACTGAAGGAAACAGGAAAATATAAAACTTTTCTTCCCTCAAAGACAAAATTCCTTCTGTTACAGGAATTTTGATAGAGAAATCCAAGACTTACAGGTTTAACCTAATACATGTTGAGTAATAACCAATTCAAGTAACGTGCTTCCTGATACCACCTTTTGGCTTGCCCTCTTACAAGAGTTCAGTTGACTTTGGGAGAAAAAAAGATGACGGCTGCCATAATCTCAACTGCAAAAGTTTCCCCTCCCAGACACCCCCTTCCCTGCCAACAAAAGAAAGCTGAAGAGCAGACTAGCCCAAGTAGCCAAATTCAGCAGCAGAGAAAACCGCAACTCATTTCCTTAGCCAATATGGTGCCAAGAGGAAAATTCTGTGGATTTAGTAAGCAAGAGATAATTTACTGACCATATAAAAGCTGGAAAATATATTTTATTATATTACCTTTACCATCTTTGCCAACTAAACCCTTAAATTTCCATTTCTTTAATTCAAAGTATTGTTTGTGGTTTGTAACCCTTTGAAACAGTCCCAATTTGTAGAGATTAAAAGTGAAAAGAATCTATAAATCATGTTATAAAAGTTTCTGGATTACATTAAAGCTCCAGTAAATTCAGTTACCTTCTGGTCCTGTGTCCTGAAACAATTCTTAACATAGTTGACAAATTTGGCTTCCAGTTTAGGAAGGGTAGTGCCCTATTGTGGGGGGAAAAAAGCAATTTTTACTGTTTAAGCTAGTTAGTAGCTTCAAAAAAACCCGTTAAATCTTAAATCCTTAGTAGTACAAGTGGAAAACAAAAGCAAATGCAGTATTAGGAAATACTGACTTCTATTATGAGATGAAATTTAAAACTAGCTACTTTGGCAGAACTTATTTACTAAACTCAACATGAACACTTGCTCTGACACTTAAGAAACAGCATGCAATACTGTCCAGGTTCACCATTACACTGGGAATTGGCCATTGACAAAACATTCATAGCCTACATAGTCGATTACCACGTACCCATGCATGTAACCTCATGTGCCTTTATGTTACCCATCTATAGAGTTGGCATCTTTTTTTGCAATTTAGTCTACATGTTGAACTGCAGAAGGTGAAAGAGCTCTTAAAGGCATTTAGAAAGGTCATTCAGCACCTTCCAAGTAAAATGAAGGATTCTTTTTGCCAACTTTAATAACTATTCAAAGAAATGTAAGTTTTTGCCCAGACTACTGAAGCGATCAGACTAAACAGCACTTGTACCTTTGACCAAAGTTCAAATTACAATATTACAATATTGTACATATTAAAATACATACAAAATACAATATTAACAGTTCTTTGTTCTGCATAAGCCATTGCCACTGTCAGAAGTCCCCTTTAAAGGATAACCAGTTTAAATACATTAGACAACATCCTTTTAGCCTATACATGGAACTAGTCAAACTCCACAGAATACAAGGGAAAATTATTTATGGAGGATGTATGAACCCTTAGCCCATGAAAATTTTAAGGCGGCAGTGCATCAAAATGCCTCATCGTTACAGATTTCCAAAGGAGTCCTTGGTCTAGAACAAATGTTTACTTTTAGAGAAATCAAACTTACTGCCTAGGGAATCTAATACCAATTTTATTTAGACCACAAAGTTCTTAAATACTTGAAGGTATAAAATTGGGCTAGATTTGAGATTAGCCCGCTGCCTGAAAAAAGTTGGACAAAGTGACCAAATACAGGTATAACTTGCATTTCCACACACAGCTAGAAAGCCACCAAAATCTAGCCAAGAGAAAAACATGGAGCACAGCAGGGCTTTGAAATTCTACCCATTTCTGAGCCATAGGTACCTTACTCAAGGATGTGGAGAAATGCATCCATCCACTTGATATCCAATGCCCAGAATATTCTTAAAGCAGGCAATTTATAAACTCAATTTGTAAAAACCAGAACAGGGCTTCTTAAAATAACTGCTGGATAAAGGTACTACTGGTGCCAACTTTCAACTTAAGGCTTCAATGGAAACTGGCCCTTTACTTTTTGGGGTAATTTTCTGATGAAAATTAAATGTTTTCCATGTCAGTACCTTTTATAGTGACTTTATAGCACATACTCTGGGAGTATTTGTTAACAGGTTACGATGCTATTTTGAGGTTGTAAACCTGTCCTATGGGCTTCTCACTTGTACAGAAGATCTCTTCCCCATTTGGACCCCTTGTCTTTCAATGGTGAGGTTTTTCATTTGGCAAGCGTTTCTATCCACCATCAATGTAATGTGTTGCATGTGAAACACCCCCAAACTCAGTATCTTGCTTTCTTGCTATCAGCTTTATAGATGAAATCACCTAAAGCTAAAAACTCAACAGCTTACCTTCTCTAGGGTTGCCTGCATTTTTGCTTTGATCTCTTCCAGTGAGAGTGGTCCTTTTGGCGATTTTGGAGTTGGCGGTTTCTTTTCTTTTTTATTAGACGCCGGTGTCTGAAACAGTTAATTTTGTTACTCATTTTCTGAGGAAATGACAAGTCCCTAAAAACCTACAGAAATTCTTTCACAGCTTCAAATATTACTTTAAGTTATAAATACATTGTTCAAAATATACATGATGAATCTGCGAAATGCAGCCCATATAAGAACAAACACTAAGATTATTTAACAAATTGTTATTCTTGTTCCAGTACATAAATGCATTTCGAGAACTGTAGGTATTTGATCTTCAGTAATGCTACTAGTGAAGGCCTTTTGTTGTTTTCCTCACTTCATGCGATGACAAGTTTTAATGATTCAAGCGTACAAAAACAACTCAAATTTATTACTGCAAATTCTTGCTGAAATTTACTTTGTAAAATATTCTATGTTACTAGTTCTCCATGCATTACCCAAGTTCTTTATGTTTAAAAATATCTATCCCTTTAAGCCCAACTCAGTTAGCCAGCAACATCAATTGTAGCACTTATGATCAATGAACCATGTGTTATTGCCAACTTAATTGCACCCTAGATCCTTGCAAACACTTAACAGTATACTACAGTTTGGCCAGATATTTTCTTGCCTTTCTAGCAACAAAAAAAAAAAATTAGTTTGACCTGTTACTAATTGAAGAATTTACACCTCAACTCTCTTCTCTCATCTTTACTCCAATTCTCCGGAGTGAATTAAAAGGCCAGCTCCTATGCAAAACTAATACCAAAGTTACTGAAAAAGTCAAAGGATTATACACCAACTCAAATAAAACTGACAAATCATGCTGATGGCAGTTCAACATGAATTTAGTCTGATCTACTGTGACAGCATCCAAGGACTATCATTGTCATATGTTTAAATAACAGCCGGGGGGGGGGGGGGCGGGGCGGCGGGG